AGTAAAATTAAAGAGCGAGTATAAACAGAGAGAGTTTCTTTATAAAACGTCCCTGGAAGTTAATTATTCTTCGGGCTGTTGCGTAGGTTATTCAGCTCCAGCTGTAGCTGTCGGATCCGTACGTCCTTCTGCGAGAGCTCGTCCTTCAGCCGCCGGATCTCGTCCTGCTGTCGGAAGAACATCCGAAGGAGCTCGTTCTCTGTCCGGGGCGGCACGTTCTCCAGCAGGTCTATGCCGTTGACGACGACGCTCCTCTTCTCCTTTACCGGTGCCTTAAAGGCCATCTTGGATGTCTTCTTGTAGCCCTCCTTCAGCGACATCAGGATGGGATCTCTGTTCACCCTGCTCAGCCATTCGTCCGGCGTGAGGGCTGGCTCCGTACCCGGAGTCATCGGGTAGATGTCCTCTTGGTACTTCTCCGACCTCCTCGGCACGATCATCGAGATGGCTTCGATCAGCCCCTTGAGGGTGACGAGCTTGTAGAAACGGAAGACCTCGCAGGCCGACACGTCCAGCCCGTGCTTGGGCATCACCCCCAGTCCTTTCTGCGGGGCTGGGGAGCGAAACTCCATGAGATAACTCAAGTAGGGCTTCTCCGAGCCGATCTCGTAGTACCGAATGTTGCCGTCGCCCTTGCCAGCGAGGTACAGCATGTGAGTGTCGGCGTCGTAGAAAGGGAAGAGGAGACCCGAGAGCCCGTCGATCTCCTCCTCTATCAGGGGCATGGACAGGTCTTCCTGCGTAACAGGGGGGAAAAAAGCACTTTATTCAGCGCCACGTCCCGATGCTCGTGCTGGGCAGGGGTCCCGGCGGGGATGGAGCCGGGGTCCCGGCACCCACCTGGTCCCAGAGAGCGATCTGCCGCGTGTTCCAGCGCGACACCCCCGTCGTCAGCAGCCGCTTCGTGCTGCCCAGGAAGACCACCCTGTTGACCCGGTGGTTCTTGCAGCTGGCCTCCTGCAAGACAGGAGCGTGCTCGGCGGCAGCCCCCCCACCTCCAACTTTCTGCTTCCTTCCCCCATAATTTCCATCATTTCCCACAAATCCTTAATTAATAAAAGATTTAAAGCCTTCGACTCCCGTGTTTGGGATCCACCTAATTAAACCCATCATCTCCACCTACTTAAACCCACCAGCCCCTCCCCACAGCAGAGAGTGAACGGCAGACCCCGAGTCAACGGCAGACCCCAACACAAGCAAAGCATCACGAGGGCGTACAGCACCCTGCGAATGTTCTCACACCTTTCGGTAGGGCTCCTCCCCAAGCTGTTCCTTCCAACCCCCCCACCCCATGGCGCGGCGCGCAGCCCCCCCGGCTCGGGCACCGCACCTGCAGGACCCTGCCGGAGCGCGGCTCCACCACCCGCAGCTTCTTGTCCTGGGCCAGGAGGCTGCCGTCGGTGTTGAAGGACATGCAGAGGATGACGTCCGTGTGGCAGTCGATCATCTTCACCGGCTCCCCAATGTCCAGGTTCCAGATGAGGACCTGCAGGAAGGGGAGAGGCCGCCCTGGTATCTCCACGCCTGGAGACGCCCAAAACCCCTCCTGCAACCTCCATGTCTGCTTCAGGCATCTTGATATCTCCTGTTTTGTCCAAAATCACCCCCTCATCACCTACAGAGCCACCAGCCCTCCTGCCAGGGCTGCCCTAACCAAAATAGTCCTTATGATGGGCTGCAAGACCCTTGCTCAAGGGAAGGCATCGTCGGCTGGGGGCATGGGGAGGGGGTTGTTTGATGCCAGGACCCTGCCCTGGCCACACGCCGGCGACTCCCACCCGTCCCCCCCGCA